TAGATAGATAGATAGATAGATAGATAGATAGATAGATAGATAGCATACACTACAGTTCACACAGTATCTTACTAAATCACCAGAATACTAAATGAACACAACTACCAGATCAACATTACTAGGGGATAAATGTACTAAAAAGCACTAGAATACTAGATACTAAATACTCATTTAAAACAGTTGCCAGATCAACATTACTAAGAGATCAGCCATTTGTTAAGAATTAAGTTAGAACCGTCCAATCAGGGAATGGAGGGGGGGGGGTAGTGCATGTTGGCTAGTGGAGTCATGATGCTCATTCAGTAAAGTTGAGCACAAGCTCATCGTTTTATGACTGAGTTCATAAAGAGCTCAGTTTAACCATACATGCACACTTATGGAACCTGAAATAAAACATCTTTACGGAGCTTTTTATTTTTTAGGGACACCTCAAACACCAAGGAGTCAGAATCAGATTGATTTTGAATTAAAGGCCAAGATTATTTAATTTGAAATGTTTTAATCTATTATTAAATTTAGTGCAAACATAAGTGTTTCTCTCTATATTTTCTATGTGTAAAGTACCAATAAGCATGTTAGTGGGGTGCTTTAGTGCTTCTGGCTCTGCTGAAAACAATAAAAAATGATCCACACAAATCTGGTTCGTCCAGTTTGTGGGAATTTAATCGGACTGCTCGTCAGAACAATCACCAGAAATGATTCATAAGAGTACTAAAAAGCACTAGAATACTAGATACTAAACACTAATTTAAAACATGCATGTTAAAAGTGCATGTTGGCTAGTGTAGCCACATTCTAGCAGAAGCTTAACAGAAAAACAAATCAAACAGAGGATTTTTCAGGCTTTCAGGCTCCAGTCTGAGGCTGTTTCTCTTTAGTTCTGGATATCTAGATAGATAGATAGATAGATAGATAGATAGATAGATAGATAGATAGATAGATAGATAGATAGATAGATAGATAGATAGATAGATAGATAGATAGATAGACACACAACATACACTACAGTTCACACAGTATCTTACAAAGTCACCAGAATACTAAATGAACACAACTACCATATCAACATTACTAGGGGATAAAAGTACTAAAAAGCACTAGAATACTAGACACTAAATTAAAACATGCATGTTAAAAGTGCATGTG